AATATTCACTAAATTGTGTTGCAAACAACTGTTTTAGATCAAACATTTATTTCTTAAATAATTATTAAACTGTAATAGCAAGGGACACGTTTTTTTGTTTTTGGTGTGACTGATGTCCAAATAATACAGCCATGTGGTAATTTCATTGGGAAATGCATTTAGCTGGTTTATAAGTGAATGAAAGCAAGGGTCTCTGTGACTCTACTCATCCTCCTGCTGTGTCTCCAGCAGACCCTGAAAGTAAATATAAAATGCATAGCAGTAACTGGGGGCTTTGTTAGGGCTGGAGCTCTATGAGAATCTGCAGGGAATATGGAGCTCCGCATCACTGCAACACAGAGACACAGCAGAGAATGAGGGACACTGGAGTGAACCAATGATCCTGGAGCCCGTGATTGTGTATGTCTGCCAGGGTTGGGCAAAAGTTTAAAATGCAATAAATAAATAAAATTAGAATTTAATTGTCCACACCCCACGGAAATTTGAAGTGAAATTTGTACATTTCAAGGCATACATTTTTAATGCATTCTGTAGGAATCAAACCCACGACCTTGGCATTGCTGTTGAATGAATGAATGAATTAATTAATAAAAATGTAATAAATAATATATACACACACACACACACACACACACACATATATATATACACACACACACACACACAAACACAAACACTTAGGACTGCTGAGGTGCTGACAGCAAGAGACTTCACTTAATCTGTGACCTTTTTTTGATGCAAGTAATTTTACCAAGACTATGAAAAAAACTCTTCTTTATATATACTGATAAACAATTAAATAAAAATACACATTTTGAAAGGATGGTCATTTTTATTATATAAAGTTTTCCTGCTAATCTATCGCTGTAAATCCTTTGTTATTTGACCGAGTAATTTAGAAAAAATATTTTTATATAGATCTACAAATGTCTTAGTGACATTGAGGTTCCTCTAAGGTTTTTTGCAAATATTTTCATGACAGTTAAAATGTCATTACTATAATACAAATACATAAATAAATCGTTTATAAAATGTTTGAAATAAGTCTCTTCTGCTCACCAAGGCTGCATTCATCTGACCAAAAATACAGTAAAAACAGTAAAATTGTTGAAAATTATTACGATTTAAAATAACTTGTTTCTATTTGACTATATTTTAGGATGTAATTTATTCCTGAGACGCAAAGCTGAATTTTCAGCATCATTACTCCAGTCTTAGTGTCACATGATCCTTCAGAAATCAATCTAATATACTGATTTGCTGCTCAAGAAACATTTCTGATTATTTTAATTTTTGAAAACAGTGGTGCTGCCCAATATTTTTGGGAAACGTGATACTTTTTCAGGATTGTTTGATTGAAGTTCAAAAGAACAGCATTTATTTGAAATAGAACCGTTTTGCAACATTATAAATGTCTTTACTGTCACCTGTGATCAATTTAATGCATCCTTGCTGAATTAAAGTGTATTTTTTGGGGTTGATGGGTTTAGAGGGCATAAAGAATAAACTTTATTTGTCCCCAAAAGGAAATTTGTCTTGGGCAAAGTGCTACAGTGTTGTTCTGAACAGACAATAATGATAAATAAAACAAATTAAATAAAACAATTAAAAAACATACATTAAAATATGAGTGTATAAGTATAAAATGTAAAATATGTACAGTGCAAAACACAGTAAAGTGCTAATATGCTATAGGTGCGTTGTTTTTGGTAGAATTCAGCATTTTTATCGAGGCAGGAACAAATGAAAGCTTCAGTCTATTAGTTTTACACATTGGCATTCTTAGTCTTGTATAGCTCAAAATATTATCATAACTTTCACATCTGACTGACGCATCAACTAATTTCCACAGTTACAGATACAGCTGTGAATCCTCAACATTAAAGCATCAAAGCAAATACTCATATAGAGACACAATCTGAACAAACATGATAAACGTGATCCAATATCAGACACTCACAAAGCAAACCATCAGTCTTTAAAAGCATAAAAGTGAAAGAAGGCCACAGACAAGAGAACGAAAGACAGAAATAAAAGAGAATAGGTCTGTTTTATCATCTAAAACATTCAAAGCAGATGACTGGAATATTATTTCTAATACATTTCAACCTTCACACTCAGGTCAGAGAAACCCTACAAACTAACAGAACCTGATCACTGCAGAAAAATAATTTGAATACAAATATGAAAGCTTGAAAAACAATACTCACAGTGAAACAGCAATCTGTAAATTCAAAAATGAAATCCAGATCCAGTCCCAGTGTGCTGGTTCTGCTCCTCAGTAACTCCACCTCTTTGTCATGCACTCATCCCTCTCTCCTTTATAGACTGACATTCGTCCAGGTCCAGGTCTCTGGGAGTATGTTCATATTACTCAGGAGATTTTCCTTACCCTGCAGCATCCCCTTCCCCCAGAGTCACTCCAGCAGCTCTAGAGTTATGCAGAGACCTCCAGACCTCCTCTATATATTCATATATATATATATATATATATATATATATATATGAATCTTAATTACTGCACAATTTAGGGCATTTTTTATATAATATCCTTAAAATATAGCAGTCATTATGGGGACATGCAAATTGGCTTGATATTCTTTTTAAAAACGAACAACTACATGTAAAATTTATGGTTTATTCCATAAGTTCTTTTGCATTACACAAAACTGAGAGAATTATATATATATATATAAATAAACACTGCTATATTTTAATTGATTATATAGTAAGTGTAAAAAAAACATATTAACCCTATATTTTGCATTTGCAATTGAGATTAAAACAAACTTTCAGTTATTCAGAGTAAATGCAAAATTTACAATACATTAAAAACGATGTATTGTAATGAGCAAATTTTTGGGAAAAAAAGGTGCAAATATTTTTACATTCCCTGTACAAAAATGCACTCATATTTGCTAGTTAAAGATGCTGTTAAATCAATTTTGCTTTGACTCTGTAACATGAATGCAACAGGATCGACATAAAGCACATTCAGAAAAATTGGCAGGATTGGTGCACTAAAACTGAGTGATACCACCTGAATTTACTAAATTATCCATTCAAATCATAAGAACATGAACTTTAAACTTACTGCAATGTGGAAAGAAAGAAGCAAAGAAGTTTCCTGAGAGTGACCCATTTAAATGTCTGATTGCTGAACTCCTTACAGATCACTGTAATAACCAGTTTGAGAATAATGAACATATAGGTCAATAAAAAACTACCTAAAATCAATATAATTTAAAATATACATAATATAACTATACTAACACTGAAGAAAAATGATGCACTTCACCTTTAAGATCAGAAACAAAGGAAAGAATGAAAAAAGTCAGCAGCTCACGCTCCTTGATTAAAAAAAAAAGAACAAATCTTTATTTGTCATTTGGTCCAACAGAACCTGAGATTGCAAATGAACCGTACAGATTTTAAACTTTTATACTTTTTTGTTTTTGTCAAAGAATCAATAAAATATTCTACATATTATATACTCCTGGCCTACAGAGATCTGTATAATTACGGCGAGTACTTCTGATGGGATTGTGCAGAGGGGAACAGCGCTGTACACTTTACAAAAGAAAGACAGAACGTGTGTGTGTGTGTGTGTGTGTGTGTGTGTGTGTGTATGACGTCACATGATCAGACCGACACACACCAACAGAGGGAGACACTGACCAACACAAGAAAACACAGGAGACGCTCAGTGCACAAATAAAGTCCAACACACATGATCAACCTGCTGATCAAAACATTCCCACGAGTCTCGCTCAGCAGCTTCTCTTGTGCTTCTTTACTAAAACACAACATAAATAAATTAAAAGATGGTTCCCACATGCATCTTCAAACACATAAACCCCTCACGGCCGGTGAATTACCACACACAGCTTTCCACTCAAATCAAGTATCGCCATTTGTCGTTACATTACCCATGATACAGAACATGTGAGCACAGAGCAGGCTGCTGATTGGCTGTCAGAATGGCATTAAACCTAAATCTCACAAAACATGTCGAGAACGTGGCACATTTCACCCCATGATCAGGAAGAATAAAGATATAGGTTGCTTAAGGAAATTAAACCTGTATTTTGGGCCTTTAAGATATCCTGGATTGTGACAATTACACACAATTTTACCCCAAATCCAGACAATTAAAAAAAAAAACACATTACAGAAATCTGGAAAAAACACTGATATATTTAAATTCTAATTATATTAAAAATATATATATAAACATAGCAACATTTGTTGTACTGCCTAAACGTGGTTTAAAAAAAACGAAGTATTTTTTTTTTACTTTTAACATAATACAGTAAAATACTGTATTCACGTAATAAGAATCAAGTGAAGATAATCCTAAATAACAAAAATTATAAAAGTAAAAATTAAAATGAAATGTCCAGAAGACTTATAGTAATATGAATTTGAGGGGAAAATTAAACAAATATAATTGAAACAGTAATAATAATAATAATAACAATATTAAAATAGTAATTATTATTTGTATTATTATAAAACTGTAATGTCCAGGAGTCTTACAGTAATGTGAATAGGAGGGAAAAATGTGTTTAAAAATGTGTCTAATATAATTGAAACTGTAGTAGTAATAATAACAATAATAATGGTCCCAAAAACAGGCTCAATTTTGCCTTTTTAAAACAAATTTTTTTCCCTTTTAATTATGGTGAATTATAAAACGGATAGTTCCGGTGCTTGATTCTGATTGGTTGAGCCACGTTCGAAGCTGTTGTAAATTACTCTACAAAGTAACATACACCTTTGTTTACGTTTGTCTGTTGCTCAACAACCACTTTGTTGGAACCACAACCGTTTCTGAGGAACAACATTGTTTCGTGGAAGAATACTGTTTTTATTTATATCATTACACCTTATTTGCTCTGTTTTATTTTGTGAAACCGTACTACGTATATGGAATAACCGCTTTATAAAAGCAATAAGCCCCGTGAAGCCGTGGTTTACAGTGATTTTATAACAGCTGTTATAAATTCACTGTAAACCACGGCTTCTTTGGGCTTATTGCTTTAATAATTCATGTTAAATATTTTGGTGAGATTCGCCGTCTGACTGAACGCATGTAAAAGAAACGGGAAAGTACAGTCGGGTGACCGGAGACGTGCGGCGGACTCCAGGATGGATGTGAATGAAGCTCATCATGTTCTTGCGCAGAGCGAGTGTGTTTGCAGTGGGCGGGGCTTGGCTCAGCAAGCAGACATGTGATTGGCTCAGTAGTTCCACCCAGACCCTCTCAGTGCCTGCGTGTGTGTTCATCATCACGGGCCTGAACTGGTCTATGTCGTTTCATGAAGGGAGAGTGTGTCTATGTGTGTGTGTGTGTGTGTAAGCGTGTGTCAAAGCGGCCGCGGCCTGTGCAGTCCGTCAGTGTCTGGCGTGAGCTGGGGCGAGTGTGTGGCTTTACTAGATGTCCAGTCGCCCAGAGACGCCTGCGCTGCTTTCCTATGGGCCAGTCTGTGCGTGATGGAGAATCCGGCGTTCCCCTCCAGCTGGGACAGGACCACCAGCACCTGCCTGCAACACGTGAGCGAATACATGCGCGTTAATGCATCACACCGCTGCTCTGTTAGGGAAAACCTACATAGAAAGCACTTTTTAGGCAAGCATGAAGACTTTCCAAAAGGTGAGCAGCAACATTATAAAGCATTCAATTATACTTTCTTTACCAAATTGTAAGGTAGTCAATCCTAAAATGCACTGCAATGCTCTCACTGAAAAAAATCATTTATCCAAGATGGTGGATAACCAGAGAAATTCATATTATAAATATATCTTTCACTCAGTGGTGACAAGTACAAAAATATGGACTAAATACAGATAAAAATTTTTTGAATAAATAATAAAGTAATATTATAAAATATATTTATTTACTGCTAACACCAAAGTCAACTAAAGTCAACTGTGAGTCGAAGGGAAAATGTGCTTAATTGCTATAAAAACATCAAATATAATAATAATAATAATAATAATAATAGGCTTTATTTTCTTTTTTATAAACAATTTATGGTGGATGCTTTGAGAGAAATTTACATCATAAACTTATATTAAATGTTGGAGAAGTATGCAAAAAATTAGAACTGAATACAGATATAAATAATTAATAGGAGGGGGCATGTATATATATATATATTTTTTTATTTTTTTTTGTATTTATTGTACGTAATATTTTATATATATATTTGTATGTATGTATGCCTCAAGTTGTCAACAAAAAAAATGTTTTAATAAATTAAAATGCATATTAAAATTTATGCTAGATGACTTTATACACTATTTTTACTTTTTTGTTTGAATTAATCTTTGTTAATTATTTTAATGAATGAGTTTTCATCATCTTTTTAAATGAATAATTGTGTTAAAATGGCATAAGCAGCACTGTTAGGGTTGATAGGGCATGTGAATGAGTGGAGTGTGATTCAGCTATGAATACCTCTGAGGTGAAATTGTCATGTGGCTCTGGGTGTGAACAAACCTTAAATAAAACCCTTCAGGCACTAACAGGACTATCATTCACAATCACACGGCGAGTTTCCATCTGGAGCCGGAGGAACAACGGCCTGCTCTTGTTCCCGCTGCTGTCAGACGCTTCAGGAGATGAGTTTACCTGTGCAGCGGCGGCACGCTGTCGATGGTCTTCAGGCTGCTGCGGGTCGACACCACATTGAAGCTGTCGGTACAGTCACATGACACATGGAGGTAGTACTTCGGGTGACGGTTCTCCACGACGACGATGAGCCCCGCCCACCCGTGAGTCAGGTAGTAACATGTCATTCCTTCCCGACCCTGAAAAACACATGAGATCAACAAATCACATCATAAAACCGCCATCCTTGTTGTTTGCATCCGTAATTATTATGGACCTTTTCCACATTTCTGGGTTTCTCAGAAGCGGAAGTCATCATAGTTGATTGTAGTGAATGGGAAATGACATCAAATACTTTTTTTTTCTTCATTCCCATTCACTCAAATAGCAAAAGAAAAACTCCATGATAATGTTTTCACAACTTTTGAAAAGAGGAAAAAAATAGAGAGAGCTTGACAGCGGTAGTCAGAAGAGAAAACAAAGTCAAATTTACCTTCACTCTTACAGACGCTTTTGTAATTTGATGCAAAGGTATACTATATATTTATGATTATATTATGTAACAAAAGTGTATTATATTTACATATATACAAAATTGATTTTATATTCATATAATTTATATATGTTCATTTTATATAAATTATATTAAAAACCTATAGATAACTTTGTTAATTATATATGTTATTATTAATAATATTATTGCAAACTAATTTGATTATGACTATATAATAAAATGATATTATAATAAATATATATATATATATATATTTTTTTTTTTTTATTATCCAGTTATTCAGGAATTATTCAGTTATTAATTCCTATTATTAAAAAAGTTTGAAATGACAAAATCTCAATAAATTACATGAAATCATATACATATATAAAGTTAACCCGTTTTTCCCTCATATAGCCATTTTATTCATCATAGCAGTCTCACAAATTAAAAACCATACACTGCAAAAAATGCTTTTCTAGCTTAGATCTTTTGTCTTGTTTCCAGCCAAAATATCTAAAAATTCTTAAATCAAAAAGGATTTTCTAGACAAGTAAAAATTATTGTCTGGAAACAAGACAAAAGATCTAAGCTAGAAAAGCATTTTTTGCAGTGTACATATATTTACATATTCATCTAGATGCATTGGAGAAATTATTCTGAAAGTGAAAGTGAAGTGACATGTGGCCAAGTATGGTGACCCATACTCGGAATTAGTGCTCTGCATTTATCCATCCTAAGTGCACACACACAGCAGTGAACACACACACACCGTGAACACACACCCGGAGCAGTGGGCAGCCATTTTTGCTGCGGCGCCCGGGGAGCAGTTGGGGGTTCGGTGCCTTGCTCAAGGGCACCTCAGTCGTGGTATTGAAGGTGGGAGAGAGAGCTGTACATTCACCCCCCCCCCCTACAATCCCTGCCGGTACGGGACTCGAACCCACAACCTTTGGGTTACGAGTCTGACTCTAACCATTAGGCCACGACTTCCCACTCTCTTTGAATCCTAAAGCCCCATTCACACCAAGAATGATAACTATAAAGATAACAATATTTGCATCCACACCAGCAGATGATATCATCTGTTTATTCTAAGCGCACGTGCGTCTGCCGCTTTAAATTCTCGAGCTAGTTATAGCAGGATAGATTCTGATTGGCTGTCAATGTTTGTATCGTTCATCAGCTGGAAAAAATCGTTCTGGAAGTGATTCCAACGATATCGTTAGTAACATGTCATTCCTTCCCGACCCTGAAAAACACATGAGATCAACAAATCACATCATAAAACCGCCATCCTTGTTGTTTGCATCCGTAATTATTATGGACCTTTTCCACATTTCTGGGTTTCTCAGAAGCGGAAGTCATCATAGTTGATTGTAGTGAATGGGAAATGACATCAAATACTTTTTTTTTCTTCATTCCCATTCACTCAAATAGCAAAAGAAAAACTCCATGATAATGTTTTCACAACTTTTGAAAAGAGGAAAAAAATAGAGAGAGCTTGACAGCGGTAGTCAGAAGAGAAAACAAAGTCAAATTTACCTTCACTCTTACAGACGCTTTTGTAATTTGATGCAAAGGTATACTATATATTTATGATTATATTATGTAACAAAAGTGTATTATATTTACATATATACAAAATTGATTTTATATTCATATAATTTATATATGTTCATTTTATATAAATTATATTAAAAACCTATAGATAACTTTGTTAATTATATATGTTATTATTAATAATATTATTGCAAACTAATTTGATTATGACTATATAATAAAATGATATTATAATAAATATATATATATATATATATTTTTTTTTTTTTATTATCCAGTTATTCAGGAATTATTCAGTTATTAATTCCTATTATTAAAAAAGTTTGAAAGACAAAAGATCTAAGCTAGAAAAGCATTTTTTGCAGTGTACATATATTTACATATTCATCTAGATGCATTGGAGAAATTATTCTGAAAGTGAAAGTGAAGTGACATGTGGCCAAGTATGGTGACCCATACTCGGAATTAGTGCTCTGCATTTATCCATCCTAAGTGCACACACACAGCAGTGAACACACACACACCGTGAACACACACCCGGAGCAGTGGGCAGCCATTTTTGCTGCGGCGCCCGGGGAGCAGTTGGGGGTTCGGTGCCTTGCTCAAGGGCACCTCAGTCGTGGTATTGAAGGTGGGAGAGAGAGCTGTACATTCACTCCCCCCACCTACAATCCCTGCCGGTATGAGACTCGAACCCACAACCTTTGGGTTACGAGTCCGACTCTCTAACCACGGCCACAACTTCTGAAAGTTCTTCATGCGGTGGGTGTGAGTGTGTTGCAGTACCTCATGTCTCTCTCCCTTGTTCTCCGTCAGCAGGATGATGGCGTCGGCGAGTGTGGTGGATGTGGCCTCCACCTGCTCCACCATCACCTGTCTGGAGCTGTAGATGGCCAAGATGTACCCTGGGAAATCCTGACTGGGTCTGCGAGCGTTGGTGGGGCTGGAGACTGCAAAAACACACAAACGTGCTTTCTAAATCTCATGCAAAATGAGTCCTGCTTACTCTCCAGAGTGCGTTTAGTAAGCAATAAGGTACGAGAGGCCTGTATTGTGAACAGGTCACGGCTGAAGGGCGTTGTTCGGCACGACGCGAAACCCTTCAGCCATGACTTACTCTCGAGGCATGCCTCGAGTGCCTTATTGCTTTTAGGAAACGGCTATCACACAAAACAACTATTAAAGCCAAAAATGTATGCATTGATTTGTTAAGTAAATTCATTAAATTCTATCCTTCCACTAAAAAATAGTCCCTGACAGTGACAGTAAACGGCAAGAGAATGTTCTGATGTAACAAGCCTCATCTTATGAAGCTCAAATAAAAACAGAGAACAGGAACTGTTCTCATCTCACTTTTTAAACACCATATATGATCTTTTCTCACATACACACACATACATCTGCTTATCTCTCAGCATGAGAAAACACCTGTTTTCCAGTTTAAAACATTGCAAGCGTCATTAAAGTCTAAATTCATACAGTACCATACCTCAAAAAGAAATCTAATAAATACAGTATAAAATTCCCTCCACACTTGTGTAAACGGCAGGCTTCCACACAGACATACGCTTATCAATGTTTCTCCCATACGAGAAGAGTTTCTTTAACGGCGGGTTAAAGGTGAATGATGCAACATAAGGCCAGCAGGGGTCGCTCATAATTCATCACATAAATAACAAACAATTAATTTTGCTGAAATACATAACACCGTTCTGGCGCTATATTGATTGTTTATGTTGCTGCAGTGATACACAGAACCGTTGGTGCTTTATCGTGAATATAAAACAGCTGCTGACCAATCAGAATCAAGGACTGAAACTAACTGTTTTATAATTGTATTGACCCTTCGCAAAGACCCGCCCCCTTAGTTACACTTGCTACGTCCGACAAACCATGGCGCTCTCACGCCACACATCATGTTCTCACGCAGTGAAAAATACATCGCGGAGCAAAGAGGAAACTGAAAACTGAGACAGAGCAGGTTACTTTGGGTATGAAACAGTCTCAGCTTTCAGAATTTTGTCTTTATTTTTTTGAAATTCAAATGAATAGCATTTTGTGGCTCTTTAATGTGTGGTGACAGATCGCTGTAGCGCCTCAGTTCTCATCATCTCTTCCTCTTTACTAGTTATAGCACAAAATAAACATGAATGAACATCAGAATGGATCTTGTTTCAGCCACGGAAAGACGTCAGAACACACCGCTTTTCAAGTTAATCTACTCTCCTGTCTGGTTTGTTTGTCAGACAGAATTCCAGATTCAGTGTTATGATTGGTCAGATCGCCTGTCAATCAAACTCCCGGCGAAGGGTCAATCAAGCGTGTGTTTGTGTACCTGGTGTTGAAGCGTCCGTCAGGTCCATCTGCCAGTGGTTGAAGGCACAGCAGACCACCGCGTACTCTCCCGGCTCCAGCATCACATCACATCCTACAAACTTCTTCACCGCGCGCTTGCTGTGAGCCAGCAGACGTCCCAGGACCAGCCTATTCCCGTTACCGAACGAGGCCCGGAAGACCATGATGCACAGATCCAACAGGTGACTGTCGGCCGTGTCTGAACGCCTGGAGCAATGGCACAGAATTGATGTTGTTGTTGTTTTATGGTTAATATTTCATGCCTCATTCTTTATTTATTTTGCTGTTATTTACCTGCTGCCCTCCTGGAAGAGGGCGAACTCCACCGCGGTTCTCTCCAGGACCGTGAGGGCGGTTACAGTCACCGGTTTACTCGCCCGGCAGGGCAAGCAGCCCTGCAGACGAACTTCCTGCCAATCAGGATGAATCTTGCAGATATCCACCGAATCAAAATACCTGCACGCACAAGATTAAATAAGGTTTTTTTCTGTTGCAGTTATTTAACTAGATCTAATGATAGACTGATATGTCGGTCAGACGGATGATTGTGTATTTTGGCCAATTTGAACATCAGTTGATAACAATACCCAATTGGAATTACTTGAATTCATTTTTAAATAAATATAATTATTTTGTCATTTACAACCATTAAAGAATATGAATAAAAGATCAAATTAATGATTTAAATGTAATAAAATTGTTAAAATATATATTTTTTCAAAATTAGATCTCATTTGCTATTATTAAATATATATTAATTAATATTGTTAATAAAAATTGTGTAAAATGTCTTTAATATTGTTTACATTGAACTCATATAAAAAATTGAAAATGTATATCATAATAAACTAAGTGAATTGTAATGTAATGTTTGTAAGAAATATGGTGTAAAATAAGTCATTTTTAAAAATGTATGTAGATATTGTTTGTATTTATTATGGATTTAACAAATTTAATACATTTGTAATAAATATGATTTAAAATAAGTCTTTTTTTGTTTTCAAATGTATGTAGATCTCATTTGGCATCACTAATACATACAATTAAAATGTTAAGAATTTTTTATAAATTTCATGTAAAATGTGTCTTTCATGTCATTAAATAATGTTTATATATAATATAAAATGAATTCATTTTAATATAATGTTCTTAAATAGAATTTATTTACTTTATTTTTTTACAAGCTTTAATATTTTTTATTAAAATTGTGTAAAATTTATTTTTATGTAGATTTTAATATAATATTTTTTAATAAATAAGTTGTAAATATGTCTTGTTTTTTCCAAGTTCGCCTAATTTGCTCATATGTAATAAAAAAAACAACAACAGAATTTGTATATAATACATATAATACATAATACATACATACATAATACATATAATACAAAATAATATACAGCACATTTACATCACATTTGTCAAATTTAAGTAGATCTCTCGCATCATTAAATAATGTTTCTAGAATTTAAATTTCATTAATTTTAATATATTCTTTAAACAGAATTTTCAGAAAACAGCACAATATTTTTATATTAAAATGGTGTGAAATGTGTTTATGTAGATCTCACTTTCCATCATTAATAATATGCATATACATTCATTAGAATTGAATATAATAATTTTAATTAAATATGGTGTCCTCATTTTTCTCCAAGTTTATTTAGATCTAATTACTAATATATGTATAATAAAAAAAACAAAAAAATGAGTAATACAAAAATAGAAAGCAAATAAACAGGCCATCAGCCTCCTGCACATTCATATCACTTCTGAAAGACTTCTGTCCACTAACGAGGTGCTCTTTATTTATGGAAAGCTCTGATGAAGCTCATCTCAGATTAAAGGTCAATTTAGCACCGATGAAGCACTTAATGACTCACTTAATGAAGTCTCCGTATTCCATCCAGAAGACGCCTTCGCTGCTGCCGTGAGCCATGAGCTCGTGACGCAGGTGCTGCGGCCAGTCGGCCCACTCGTCTGACCACGAGCCGTTCCAGGAGAACCGGCCCCAGGGGTTCCTCAAACGCAGCAGCCTGAACACAAAAGCCACCGTCCTTTACCAGAACCGCTCAAGATTTACAGCTCTGGCCTGCTTTTATTGTTCTGTCACAATGAGTGCACGCGTCACTCACGATTTAAAAACAACCCACCTCCTCATGCATGCCATCATATGACCTCAGAAAACATCTATGGACTACTTTTTTGTTCTTTGCATGACAGCATGAATCATCTTCATTATATGCAATGCAGCAGGTGTGTAACAGTACACAAAAATGACAAGTCACGGTTCGGTACGCTTTCAGGAACAGCAACTAAACATAAAACAGTGGTTTACCGAACAAATTGTGGCTCTGTCTTTAAATAAATTCGATTAAAAAAAAAAAATCTACCTCTGCTAATGCTGTAAATGATATAGGAGCCGTATAACTTGCATATTACTATAATATTAAAGGTTACAATTAACAAAGAAATCCAAACTATTAAATTCAATTGCTATTTATTTTTAGATATAATAATCAGCACTGAAATAAAAAAATTGTATGCAAATGTAAATTACACATAAGGCAGTTTTTACATTAACTTATAAATCTAGAAAATTATGTTTCTACGCCAGTGTGTTGTTGAAATATAATCATAACTTGTTTTAATGACAGTTACCTTAACTAACAGGTTAAATAAATATATTGAATATATAGGCTAATATAGTGCATATATTTAGCAAATGAGCTAAATGTAATGCTACGTGATACGGTTTACAAGCGGTTTTAATGACATCTTTACACAGTTGAAACACGTGATTGATTTGTCGTGAAACATTAAAGTGTGCCAAAACAGCATTTAAAGCTTGAACTTCCTGATAAAACAGACACAATATGAAAGATGAGACTTTGTTTCTTGTTGAAAGTCACTAAACACAAAGCTTACTGTTATATTATAATATCTAATGAAGTTTTATTCACTGAAACAGCATAGACTAAATAATCGATCTTGGGATTTAAGAATCGGTATTGTTTTGTTAAAATGAGGATATATAAAACTAGAAGTTTCAAATGAACTTCTGCATACGCAGTGGTTAAAACAACACTGTGTAAGACCCGTACTGAACGTTTTCAGTATGAATACGTGTAACATCACACCCCTAAAAACAGTGATCTTTTGTGTCGTATGGGTGAAGAAACTCTGTTTTGACAGTATGCATGCTGTGAACGTGTCTGACCTGTAGCCCTGAACATCCCTGACGTCCAGTATGGAGTAGGCATGTCGTGGGCGGAGCCCCAGAGACTCATATACAGCATCATCCACCTTCATGTTCCCGCCACCACAGGACGCCCCCATCAGAAAGCTGAGACACACACAGACAACGATCACAAACCCAAACATCGTAACTCACTTCACAGTTACACCAGTGTAGAACAGAGGTGTTTTAGTATCACTGATACATAATTATCATTTTTTATTAATTTTAGTTATTTTAGTTGTAGTTGTTTTAGTAGAGAAATGATACTTTGGCAACTAACTGAAATAAAATACATATATAACATATATA